GGTTTGTGGTTCAGGAGGCTGTTGAATGGATGCGTGAATCCGAAGACATTTGAGTCAGAAGGGAACTCGAGAACAGATTGTTGAATGATTTTTCAAAGAATTGTATTCTGAAAAGAAAATACTTTGAAAAAAAAGAAGAGTACTTTTGTTTGTTTTATGGTACTGGAATTGAACCCGGGTTCTTTTCACTGAGCAACATCCCTAACCCTAAGTTGCCAAGGCTGGGCTTGAAACTACAATCCTCCTGCCTCAGCTTCCCACAGTTTTATATAAAAGTAAGTGTGTGAATCACTTTGTATTCTCAACTTTAATGATTCACAATGTGTATTAAAAATACTAGTAAAGTATTAGTAAAGACAAGAAATTTTTGTATTAAAAACACTAACTTAAGCTTGTTTAACTATGTGTTTTCTAAGTTTACTTGGCCAAAAAATACTTTTGTTTGTTTATTTGTTTGATGGCTTTAGTGTTAAACCTGTTGCATTCCTTGAAACGTTACTTATTCCAAAGAACGCACTTTAAAAAATACTACCCCAGGCCAATTTCTTCATTTTAGGGGAATCATAATGACTTACATCTATACAATGTCTTATTTCAAGTGCTTCCTTTGCTTCTGTCTCCTTTAAGTCTCACAGCAGTCACTCAGGTAACATCCCTATTTTTAAGACAAGGAAATAGAAGTCCGGAAGGATTCCAGAGATTTGCTCAAGGTCACACAGCTAGTTAGTGACAGAGATGAGAAGAGAAATCAGACCTAATATTGATCCAGTTATCACCTTATTAACACCTTAGCCAGTGTCTGTCCAATCTTGTTTCCACATCAGAAAGTAAGTTGAAAGCAGTATCTTTCTTAAAGAAACTTGGAAGGAATCATTTCTGCTAGGGGAACACAAATATCCACAGATGAGAGAATTCATCATGAGAATGTAGATTGATTGACTTTCTGCTGACAACTGCCAGAGGTGAGGGTTGCCCCAAACTACCACACCTCACCTTGCTCTCTGCCACGTGCATTCTTCAGCCCAGCTCTGCCACTTTCACAGCACGCAGGTCATCATAGCCCCTCCCTTGACCATGACAGACAATTCCTCCCCACCCCTGAGGCCAGGCATGGCCGGTGAGATTCCCTCAGCCGAGCCCTCAGGCCCCAACTGTGGGCAGATTAGAGTTGGCCCAAAGTTGAAGTCTGTTTACTGATTTCCCTTTCTGATTGCGCCACTTCTGGTTTCTACCATCCTTCAGGCCAGTTGAATCGGTACATTTACTCCTCACAGTTTCAAGTGTTCCTTTTCAAGTGCCTGGAGTACACTACCTGAAAACTTCAAATAACAGATGCTTATTTTTATAAGAATCCAGTGATACATATATAAGTGAAAGTGCTTTGTGAACAAAGAAATTACACTACTAAAAACATTATTATTGTGATTTTTACTCTTTAATTCTGACTGGGCTAAATCCAGAATGCTTTCTTTTCCTACGTTCTAATTTTGGCCTTTTATTGCAAGTATTGGATGTTCTATCCCAAGTGTTCCCAAATAATTATTTAAAAGCTAGCCTAAATTAGACTTTATTTAAAATAAGCCTTCAATTAGATATACTATTTTCAAAGATTTTTCTCAGAAAACAAGGGTAACTAAGACACAGTTTGCGAAGCAAGCAATACTTAATTTAATTCTATCTGTCTCAGACTCTTTGAGCTACTGAAACAAAATTTTCTCAGTGGTTTACACAGAAAACAATTTCTCATAGTTCTGAAGGCTGGAAAGTCCAAAGCCAAGCCACCCAAGGGCCTACTTCCAGGTTCATAAAAGCTATCTACTAACCACGTGTAAGAGGAAGTGCAAGGGTCTGACTCAAACCTCTTTTATAAGAGCACAAATCCCACTGCCTAGTCATCTCTCAAGGGTTTCGCCTCCTAACACTGTCATCTGTTTAGGATTTTGACATACAGCTTGAGGGAGGGGTGCACACAAACATCCAGACCCTACTTCAGCTATCACCAAAGTTTGGACCTCTTTCAGTCCCAGGAAAGAAGGGGCTTGTCCAAATCCTTGGCACTGCAGGGAGGTCTGTTGCTCTCTTCTCTGTCTGCCCACATCTCTTCCCATGGACAGAGCTCTAGCCAGAGCCCTCAACCACCTTCTTCACACTAAATACCCAACACCCTGGGATCTCCTACCCGGATGGCTCCGGTTCACCCCTGGGGATCAGGCAAACCTGTTCCCAAGGAACCATCCTCTGGAGGAGGTGTGATTGGAGATTGCATGTGGGGCTGAGACATACATAGGTCTACGTTTAAGACCCATGTATTGGACAGTGGTCCTGGGCATGGAAAGAGAAGGCACAGGCACCCAAGTCAGACCCTCTTCATCCTACATGTTCCCTCAGGGAACTGTGGGGCACCCAAGGAGTCTCAGTTTAAACCTGTTCTTCCAGAGCATCTTGCAGTTGTACTTGTAAGGTAGGAGAACAGAATGTGTTCCATTTACATATTTTAAATATTCATATGTGTGTAAGTAAACCTCCTGTTGTAGGTACCCTTACCTTGGGTTTTGCAAATCTTGCATATTGACCTGATCACACTTTTTGGATCTTTTAATTCTCAGAACAGACTTGCCTGGTTTTTGTTTTACATGAGCCATCCTTCAAGGTCAACCTGATGTGTAATCCTAACTCCAAGTGCAATGCGCATTAGTGACTCTGTCTCCACGATGCACTCAAACCACATTCTTTTATTTACTGAACACTCAGAAGATGACTTAACTGTGTGACTTTACCAGTTTAAAGTTTACCTGATGATTTATCACTTTCTCAGTCAGATGATACGGCACAGAAGTGCTTGTAAACTTCATCCTATTCTGATGTGGGAACTTTTATTCTTCCTTTACAAAAAATCTTGCAGAGAGGAAAAGCTGTAATTTGCCATACCACTGTGTGAGTTAAGTTGTTCATTTAGTTGAGATTTCCTTTATGATTCTAATCAGAAGCAGAAATAAGGGACTTTTCAAATACCATAGTTCACCCATGTTCTTCCCCCAAATCTGTTTCTTTGGAGTCCTAACCTCTGCAGACACACACTTGCTTGAGGTAAGCAATCACTGTCCCTTACAAGGATATGCACAAAAGCCATAAATAACATGTGCGAATACATGCCTTTTGTATATTTCCACCTCTCCAGACTGTCTCCAAACACCTGAGCAGGGACTCAACTTTCCTTGAAGGCTGGAGGTGTATCAGAGCTGTGGGAGCTCACCACTGCTGACCCAATGAACCAAAACCAACAGAGCAGACATGTGGCTTTCCAGGGCCCACCGGACTGCAGATTAGGAGAGACTGGACAGAAGGAGGGGCCTTGCCTAAAGAGTTGCTTCCCAGACAGCAGAGCACAGACATAATAGAAACCAAGTTTTATTCTGGTTTATAGCTCCTACCTTCTCCTCTCACTACACACTTTACCACAGATATTGACAAGCAGGCTGTGGACATGAGAGATTGCCAGTCTTGGAACCAGGAGGTGCCTATTTATCTTCTCAAGCTTGGCAGACATTTACTTAGTCTATAATTCTAAGCACTAGAAATAGTGGTGACTAAGATGAATAAGGTCCCTGCTCCCATGGAACTTATATTTAATAACATTCTTTTACTTTTTAAACAGTGGCCTCTTTGAGATGGCTTTCCCAAGTTTTTGTGTTCTACCTCTAATTCTTTCCAAAACTTTGAACAGTTGCCAGAAAGTTAAAAAAAAACACACACAAAAGCAGAAAACACAATTAGTTCCCATTGTAAGTGCCATCAAGGAAGCAAACCAGATAATACAATGAAGTGTGATTTGGAGGGTGCATTACTTAGCCTGAGTGGTCAGGGAGAGCCTCTCTTGGCTCTCTTGGATCAAAGAAACATGCAACAGTCCTCTGGGGGTGAGGCTCTTTCAGAGTAGTGAGCCTGGCTACCTTCCACCGGATCCACCCAGTGCATAGGGAAACCCATTCACCCTTATGCTCTTTGAATGACGTAAGTACTATTACTTACTGTTGCTGCTGCCCTCTCTCCCAGTGCCACCTTCATGGGCATTTCCAGCCAGCCTCTGGCTTTCAGAGTCTTCCAGACAAGCAGTGCATACATCATACCTCCAGATGTTTATTCCTGCATCTGTATTATTTGCAAGAAGCCACACTGGTGGTAGATAGCATAGCACTCTCTGCTCTCGGGATGTCCCTCATTTAATCCCATCTTCTCAAATTTTTTATCTTCTTCTACTTAGGTAGCAAGCAAAGGTTAGGAGGGGAGACCATTTTGCTCTCTCTAGGTAACTTCTTATGGATATGTCTACCATCATTTTTTTTTTCAGAAAGGACAGGCAGTTATCAATCATACTCTCTGTTCTGGAGACTCAGTGAAACCTCTAAGAATACAAGGAAAGCCAAAGTAACATCTCAGTACATTTGTCCATGGATTTTGGAGAACAGGATTTTACTCGATCCATTATGTTTGAAAAGTGACAGAATGTCTTTTCTTCTCAAGATTTGTAGGGTCCTATAAAGAGAAGCTGATGATTCCACTGGGCACGGAGGACAATCAGATCCTTCCTTGCAAGCTGCCTGGAATGACTGGCCATCTTAGCAGAAAAATTGTCATCTTATGTTAGTAATGTCTGTATTGAGCTGAGGAGACATATGCTGTGTATTTTCCCCGGACTGAGCAAGGTTTTACAGGCATAAAGACCTCATATGAAAAAAGCTGTAGTTAGTGCTCACCTCCTGCTGGAAAATAATGAACTCCCTTCCAGACATCACTGTAGGTTATCCTGCATCCATCACTTTAATAATATTTGTTTAAATTAGCCAAATACAAATGTGTTTATCTTTTCAGTCTTTCTTTGGGGGAAATGAGTTTGGGGGCACTTTATCTGCAGAAATGGACATGATCCAATTCTGAGTTTTGCCAGATATTTACTTTGGGAAAATTGGAAATGACTCTGTGTTCTATAAACTTTCAAACAGTATGACATTCTTTCAAGACCAGAGAAGTTATCGCAGCCCATCATCCTGTGAATGGACACCATCACCTGGACCTGAGGCCACAAAGTCATGAAAGCATCTAACCAGTCAGAGCTCTGTATTGACCTGGCTGCCAGCCAAGCACAGACACCTAGAGATGTTTGTTCATGCAGAGATCCAAAATCACAATTCATCGTTCGATTTCATGAATGAAATACTTAATAAGCCACGCAAAGCTCATTAAAAAAGTGACTCACCCACAGTTAATGACCAACAATAAAATAATATCATTGTAACCCATTGCATAAATGTCTGCAAGTAGGAAAGAACTTGACAAGGGCAAAACTTTAGAATCGAATTATGCAAATAGAATAAAAGTGACTTGCTCTGAAAGAATTCAACTTGCCTCCTGCCTGACTCTCCATCTGAGTTTTGCCAGCTCCAGAAAGGCCTCTGAGCCCCCAGGGCGCAGAGAAAACATTTGTGTTTATTCATTTGGTTATTTCCTAGCAGATAGCAAAGAAAAAGGCATGTTTTGATTACTACTGACATTTCAAGTCAGGACAAGGATGAAAAATCTAAAGTAAGTAATCTAAGCTTTTAGGCTATCAGAAGAAGACTATGCAAAACTGTGTGATCCGATTGCCTAGAGAATTCCAGAGAAGTAAAGTAACTTCTCTGCGTTCACACAACTAGAGAACAGCAAAGCAGTGCCAGTCAGTGGTCCCAGCTTCCTAGCTAAGTGCTACTTCCTGGATGTCCTCTTTCTCTTTCTCTTTCATGAATAGTCTTTATTTTTTAGAGCAGTTTCCAATCTCTAGAAAAACAGAGTGAATAATACTGAGAGTTCCCATATACCATCCCCTACCCCTACACAGTGTGTCTGAGTGTGGGATATATATTAGAAATAATCAATATTGATAAATTTTGGTTAAATGATATCCATAATTTACATTAGCATTCGCTCTTTGTATAAAACATCTCTAGGTTTTGGCAAATGTGTGGACATCATGTACCCATCATCGTAGTGCCACACAAAATACAATATTTCAACTGCTAGGTGGGATCGGCTGCCCTAGTAATCCCCTGTGCTTAATTCCGCATCAAGTGGTCCTTTCAAGACATCACTGGGACTCTGAATGAAAACCCAGCACTTAATATTTTTCATGCCTTTCAGGGTTTTGTTTTGTTTTTTTGCTAAAAAGTTGGGGGGTTTTTCATGATTAATAGAAAAGTCATGAAATATTCCATCTCTGCTCTGAATTTTGTGCTCATCCCACTTTAGAAACAGTGACGATTGTCTCACTGAAGAGACCTGTGTCTAGAGATGTGCCTGGCCCCTTTTCCCTGAGTCAGAGAGAGCGGCCCTTCTTCACATAAGCGCCAGAGAAAGGTCAGGGACAGCGGTCTCTTCCCTAGGCCTCCCTTCCCCTTCCCTAACTCAACCTTCTATACTTGAGACTCACTTGCTGCTTTGTAAGTACTGAAAAGGAACAGCTTCTCTACAGCATATTAAAAGAAGCAACCCCAAGATTCATCAAATTAATGGGAGGGGAAAGTCAATAAGAGTAATTATCAAACTCAAGAAAATCAACTTATTCTCTTTGCTGCTAGGTGTTCAACTTCAAAGAATCATAATTTAAATGAAGCTAAGGATGCACAAATGAGTACCAGCCACAGAGAGGCCAGGAGGTTTTCTCCAAGGACCCTGCTCGCTGCTGGTCAAAGTGTGCAGGAAATGAGCCCTGGTGGGCGCTTTTCAGATGGCAGTGTACATTGGAAGACAAAAACACTTCCACCCTTTCATCCTGAAATTGCATTTCTTGAGAAATTATCTTTAGAAGATAATTAGAGAAGTGCTGAAATATTTTGCTGAGAAACTTTCAGCAGTTGTATAATCCAGTGGAAAGGGGGAGAGAAGGGAACAAAATAACATCCAACAATAAGGAGAGAATGAATGTTCTTGGGGTTTTTTTGTTTGTTTTCCTGCTCATCAAATCCTAATGCTTTTCTTGGGTAGGGGAAAGGCCCCACTGAGTGGACATTATTGGGAGTTGGGTTCTACATTTCACAGCAAAATCAAGTGAGGCCATTCTTCCCCTACATATCAGCTGGTAGGTAAGGTAAGATGTTCCATCTCAGAACATTGAAACCAATATATATAATGCAAAACCTCCAGTCCAGATGGATCGTGTGTGTGGTAGGACTTGGATAAGGGTTCCATACCCAAGTCTCTCCTGATTTCTGCCCTCTTTTCCTAGCCTGTTTTCCCAGTCCTCCCATTGATTTCTATGATTACCTAATGTGATTTCTTCTCCACTTTCATTAGCCTGGGTTAGTTTTTGAGGCTTGCAAAGAGAATTATCAAGCATATCAGGAAACATCTATTCAATGTAATACGATTAATCTATCAAAACTTGTGTTTTCAGCACATATTTAAAGATACAGAAGAAAACTTTGAAATTTATGGTTTTCACAATTTTATATAATTATCATAGCTATGTAAGCAACCTATATATCTGTTTTGATATGTGTATAAAAATTACTGGAAGAAAACATAAATTCTAACAGCTCTTTTTATCTGAAAGGAAGAATGATAGGTAGTAAAAGATGTTTCCATTACCACCTAAGTGGATCTTTCTTCAGAATTAGCTCATGTGTCACAAAGACTTTACAAAGACTAGTTAAGCTCTATTTACAAAGACTTCCTTTACAGAGACTTCCCCAACCTGGACTGTGGGCTTCTTCCGCTGTACTTTGAAAACATCTAATATATCCTTGCATTATAATACAAATTATAACTGTTTCTTTAGTTCTTTGTCTCCTTGGATATTTCTTACTGTACAGTCTATCTCTTCTGCTGCTTGTAGTGCGTGCTTATGGTAGGAACTCAGTAACAGTTTGTAAAGTAAATGCACACAAGAAATACTCATAAAATTGAAAAGATGTGTTATTCAAAAGAGAGGGCCAGTAAAATAAGATCATCAGATGAGAAATAAAGACAGAAAATCGACTTTACAGGTGACATTGAGTGGTCTACTTTCTATCCGGTTAAATGGACAGATGTTATGTGGTCCCGTATATTAGATTGGTGTAGACAGATAAAACATTGCTTTCTCCTTGGTCTAAATCACTGCAATAGCTGCCTCCCCTCTCCATTTTTCCTTTGCTTCCTGAGATATTGCCTGTTCATCTAGCTGCTGTTCTCTGAGTATATCTTTGAGATTATCATCGGCTAAATATTGCATTGTCTTTGGACGATTTTCCTGCATTGTAACCCCTCACCAGATTTTCAAAGCTTTTCTAGTTCCAGACAAGTTTGCAGACTGTTAATTTACCCCTGCCTTTGCCTTGCCCAAGGAAATTGAAAATAAACTTTAATTTCCTAGTGGAGGGATATGAGTGCTTTGTGTGGTTTAGAGAAAGAATAATTATTGTTTGTTGGAATTAGAAAATATTACTGGAGTTTCTGAAGTTAGTGAAGTTACACAGTAACTGATCACTTGTCCTCACATTCAGGGGTCATTCACTGAACAGAGGCTTCACCAACATCCGAGGTCCATTTGATACCTGGCCTCCAACTGTCAATCATTCCCAGTAACCGTGTTCATAGGATTCGGATTTGAATTTTGAATTCTATCAGAAGCTTTGAATTGGCTTTGGAGGCACTGTTGAGTCCATTCTCATAGTCAGTTACCTCTCAGTCTACACAAAATGAAAGGAAAGGCTTCCTTCAGGCAAACCAACAATCTCTGGTAGGAAAATAAACAAGGGTGTTTCAGGCTATCAGAAGCTGAAGCCCTGGCATCTGGAGGTGAAGGCAGGGCAGAGAGGTCTTTGTTGCTAAGTACAGTGGCCTGAAGAATTTAATGGGAGCTCAAGTCTTTGCCATTGGTCACTGAAGTCTTACAATGAGCCTAAGTGTGATGTGGGCCAAGTGGAGAAAACAGAAAAGAAAAAAAAATGTTATTTCTGGCAGACAAAAACCACACACTAACTTTTGGCAACTGGGGTTTTTGTTTTAGTTTTTATTCCTTCTTTGGTAAAGTACTTTTGTGTAAAAATACATAAAGCTGGCAACAAAATAATCAAGAAGGTTTGCTATGTACCTACTATGTAGTAGGTACTGGGGTTCCACATACCAGTGAACACAAAAGAAACGGCCCCATGTACACAAAAATACTCGTGTATATATCTGTCTTCTTTAGTGCACTGTAACTTTCATTTATATAAATATTTTCTTTTTACTTACCATTTTTTTTATGTTTCTAAAAGGTCTTCGTGGTCAACAATTTAATTCTCACAAGTGACCATTTTTCTTCTGTAAGACAAATTAATACCATCATGAACAACACTGACAAGGATACGTTTTGGCATATAACATTTTTGTCTTCTGTTGTAATTGTTTACTGGCATAAGTCCTCAGGAATGAGATGCTTGAGTCCCTGAGGAAGACAAATGGTGGAAGATACATACCACCGTGCTCCAGTTCTAGGACACTGGCAAGCTTCATTTTAATCACTTATAACACTAGTTCTGCCTGAGCCCAGATACTGCTTCCGAATCTTTCTTGACAGACCAAGTCAGTCTCTATCATTTAGCCACTGTAACCAAAAAATCAGTTTGGCAAACAAATTGAGTTTACTAGGCACAGCCACGCCAAAATTTTGCCTTGGAGACATGTAAGGGGAAAATAACACTTTTATTTCATTCCCTTTCACAGGAAATCATCAGACTTTCCCGCCAACTGACCCAAACTTCCCTGGGATTCCTTTGCTTGTTTTTGAGTTTCTAAATATTCAGTCCTTCTTTCTAAAACCATGGCTTTCCATCAGCACTCACCACGTCATGAGATAGACTGCCCTTCTGGATTTCTGAATTCAATAAATAAATGTCTCTAGGCCTTAAATATAAATGGCTAAACTAACTGGCTACCTTCCCACCAGTTCAGTGACTGCCATGGGAAAAGAAATCTCCCAGTGTAGTAGAAAAGAAGCCCTGGTATCTTTCTTCTTAAGTTAGAGAAAATGAAGCCACGGAGCCGTCAAGGGCCAGTATCCTTGTCTATCTAGCCAGGAAGAATCTGCTGACCTTTGCAAAGGCAGAGAGGAGGTGGACTCTCACAGCAACCTGTACTGCAGCAGGGCCAATTCCTGGCAAATGTCATTAATAGTTTTCCCTCCGTACACAACTGAAGCCTCCAGCACCCTGAAGAACTCTTCTGAGGACTTTGACTTCTTCAGAATTTCTGTGAGTTCTGCTTCTTGCTTTTCCCTCCAAATCTTATTGTACTTTTGTTTAGCTTCCCAAACTGAAAGGGCATCTGCCTCTTGCATTTATCTAATCTCTCTCTCTCCTGGGTTTCTTAGATCACAGCCTCCTTATCTCGTGTTCCCCAACCACTCTCCACCTTTATATATATGGACTCAGGTTCCCTCCTTATGCTTCCCACGAGTCTACCAATTTCAGCTCCCCACCCATCGCTCTGAATGAATTACTATGTTGCACATCCTCATGCTCCCGGCTAAAGTGATTAGTTCAAAGGGTAGACAGAGCAACTAGGATCTTTCCAGAGTTTTCAGTCTTCTGAAATTGGATGGGGGGATTCCGTGCTCCTCCCAATGTTTCCAGACTTGGCTAACATGAGTTTGAAGTCAACCATGGCTGTGCCTCCTTGCCCTCTGCCATGTGCCAGAAGCTTATTCATAGCATAAGGAAGCTAAATATAGAGATAGAGGAAGAGGCAGGTGAGTCTTGGTGGCAAATTCGAGGCTTAGTATCTAGCGTGCCCATGGAAAGGTAACAAATTCTAAGGGTTTCTTCTGTCTCATAGCACCCAGAGCCTACCCCCACAAAAAAAGGCTGAGGTTAGTGTGATAGTTAATTATACTAATCAGCTTGACTGGGCTAAAGGATATCTATAAGGAATTATTTGTGGGTGTGTCTCTAAGGATATTTCTGAGATTAGCATATGGGTCAGTAGGGTGTGTAAAGAAGATCGCTTCACCAGTGTTGGTGGGTGTCATCCTATCCACTGAGGACATGAGAAGAATAAAAAGACAGGAAGAACAAATTTTTTTTCTCTCTTTAAATGGGACATCCATCCTCTCTTGCCTTTGAGCACCTGTGTTCCTACACCTTAAGCCTTCTAGTGGATTCTGTTTTTATGGGAAACCCTAACTAATATGATCAGTATGATTATTCTGAGAAAGATTTGGATCACTGGTATAGCTTTGTTGATTAGCTGGGGTATGAAGATCTGGTCTGGGATAAAGCCATCTGATCTACCTAGTGCTTGACATACTGGCTTCTTTTTTGGAATTTTTTTATTTTGAGATAGGGTCTCACTATATAATTGAGACTGACCTGGAACTCACTATGTAGCCCAGGCTGGTCTCAAACTCAGCGATCCTCCTGCCTCAGCCTCCCAAGTGCTAGGATTATAGGCGTGTGCTGCCACCACGCCCAGCTCATCATACTGGCTTCTTAACAGAGGCCTGTGCAAAGTGAGTCCACCCCAGTATTATTTCACAAAGGGCTACAGGAGGAGACCTTTTGAGAGTTCACAAATTCGGCTATCTACAAATTTTTGTAATTGAGTTTATTGGTACATTTTAGGTATACAGTACAGTTACATTCATTATTGGGATCTTGTACCTTTACATGACAGGTCTTGGTTCTCCTTTTTTCCCCTTGTCCCTGGGTTATCTACGAATTTTAAGAGTATCTCCATAACACTCCTAAATTTATATCAATGACTTTCTTTCCCTAGGAAAGCAACTTCCTTGAGACAACAGAGTCAAATGTTTGCTTTTAATAGAAAGTCAGGGTGATACATGATCAAATTCACTAGTCAGCCAAATGGGTGCACTCACCGTCACCTGTGTGTTCCTCACACAGACCTTCTGCACACACAAAACTCACATCCTAGGGTCCTGCTTTCTTGTCGCCACCATCTCTGGGAAGCATTCACGTTTTTCCAGTAGTGCCACCTGTCATCCAGAATCCATGTGTGGGTGTGGACTGGCTGTAGGGACAGTTTACTGGTAAGAGTGGTGGGTGGAGAGGCACCACATCGGGTATATGACTTTTGGATACGATTCTGTTGTTAGTCAAGCATACAAGGGAGCTTTATTGAGATTTATTTTTTCTTTTGTCAGTAATACCTCGGGCCCAACTTTTATGAGGTAGTTTTAGTAGAGTGAAATTTAAGGGCCAACAGACTCTATCATTTATTTATATAAATTTCAGTGACAATTACTAATTGATCCCACATTTCCAGCCACCACTCAATAGGTAATAATATTCTACAGTTGTACTACTTAGTGTTCCTTAGCTACATAGGGACGTGTTCTAACTGCAGAAGCTCATGAGCTGGATGTAGGAGATGAAAATATTCCTTGCTCTATGAAGCCTTCTCTGACCTTTCCCTTTCGTGGTTCTCATTACATTCTGATCATAGCTTCCTTCTTATTAAGAAGTATTTATTAAGCAGCCATCCTGTGCCAAATACCATGTTAGGCGTTAGGAGAATCCTTTCCCCCTACTCCTTCTAGAAGGCCATACTTCTGTCCCTCTTTCCACCCCCAGCCTGCTCCTCCACATGGAAGAGCAGCTCATGGAAGAGGACCACACCTTGATACCTCACTCTGAACAGTGTCGCTCTTACTGGCTCTCCTGGCCCATTCACAGCCAAATGGTTAAGGCAGCCCCGCTTTACTTTCCCACTTTGCTGGCTGGACAAGTGGACACATGCTCTATCTATGGCTTCCATTCTCTGTAGAAATGCCTGGGTATGAAGTTCCCATATTAAAGCCCTTAATAGTCTTAAGCCTAAGCAATGTCTTCTGTACCAGCATACCAGAGCTTTTATTTATTTATTTATGCATATTACTACTGTGCCCTGGCTTGGCTGACGGGATGGTGATTTCTTTATAACTGCAGAGCCTCGTCTGTTGGCCCTCCCTCAGTTAGGCAGGCACAGAGAGACAAATCCCAGTTGCCAATCTTAGGTAGTATTGTTAGATGCATCCTTTCTTATTTGGGTGGTAAAATGGCCATAAGTAAGGCCGAATCCTTCAGATTTGAGGAAGTATACCCACCTAAACCTTGTCATGATAGTCTCGTCTGGGTCACAGGGCTTGACTAAAGCTCTGTGGAGAGGGTAGGTTTACTCTGAAGAAAAATGATATTCCTACTACTAATCATCCTGAGAAAAGACCACAGTGGAAGCACTTCCTGTTTTCTCTGGGATTTGGAATCAATTTGTAAGCTATCTAGGGCGCTTTCAGCAGAAGGAAGGGATGAAGAAACAGTTGGCGCTCTCAGTCACAGAAAAGAAGGCCACTAGCAGGCAGATCTATGCTAAGCCCAGAGATGGTTCTCCCTCATGCAATATTATTACTGTTCCGGTGTGCCCAGCAAACTCTACATCCTGCTTAGAAATTGCAGCCTGGTCTCTTGGCACTATGGGAATCAAGGGATAGATTTCTTCTCAACCCTGAGGTAGAAACAGAGAGGAAGGCAGAGACTCTACCTTCAAAGCCAGAGCGGGGATAGTCGTCAAGAACAGATAACAAATGATCATGGGTGGGAACCTCCACAACTCTTAGCCTGTCATGGGGAACCTACAGCATACATGCCACAGTGGGCTGCTTGTATCAACGAAAGCTCTAAAATATTCACCATAACTGCTATAAGCCATAATAGAGTTTTTCTCTTTATGAATTACCTCAGGTGTTTTGCTATAGTGACAGGATGCACATTGGCATAGGATTCAACATCTTCTTAATCAGAAATTTAAACCTACTTCTTGGGTTCAAGTCCACCCATATCCTGGCTTATAGAATAACCTGCTGCCTCCAATTCCTAAACCTCTAGGGCTTCTATGGGGCAGGTCAGCTTGCTTTTCATAGCCCCCCACCCCTCTGCCTTGCAGGCATCTGTATCTCATCATTCCCATTCTTTGAGAAGATCTTTATACTTCTGTGTCCCATTTTCCATTCTGATGGCTTTTCTCATTTTCCCAGAGTGTCTTCATTTAATTAATGTCATTTTAACTGCGTTTAGGGAGGCAAGTAAGATTAATAGATCTCAAGTTTCCAGGGAACCTTTAGTTCTTTGTTTAAGCATTTTTTAATATTTTAGGCTATTTACTTATGTTAAAATAAATACAATGTATTTATTTCCTAGCATAATTAGGAAAAATGAGCACTTATAAGAGCTGTTCTACAATATTACTAGCTTTTCCCATACATTTTCTCAAAAGAAGAAAAGCAGGCAAATAATACTCATAATACCTGATATTCACCGCTTAAAAGAGGAGAGGTTTAATTTGACTTGTGATTCCAGGAGATTCCGTCCATAGTTGGTTGCCTCTAAGGTAGAAACATCGTGCCAGAAGGGCAAGACAAAGCAAAGGTACTGTGTCTGTGGTGGCTGGGAAACAGAACAAAGGAACAATGCCAGAGAGGAAGAGGCCAGGGACAACATACAGTACCCAGAGTCATACCTCTGTGACCCACCCACATGCACCCAAAAGAGTGCTCGTCTCATCCCCCTGGGAGGCTCTCAAGCCAATCAAATTGATACATTAAGCTTAAACCCCACACACCATATTGAAATTCTCCAAAAGAAAAAAAGAATTTGAAACCCCAGCTGATGTCAAGTCCAGCAGAAGTCGGGACCACAAAATCCTGACAGAACTGGAGACCTAGGGCACATCCTGGGAACCTGTCCTGATAGACTGCCAGCCAGTGTACCGCAGGTGGCCATGGGGAAGGACAGGGCACTTGGCACACAGCCAAGGATGGCATTGTTACCTCTGCTCCCTTTCTCTAAGGAAATTTCATTTTCTTTTTTGGATTCTTTCCCTTGCCAATGAGAACATCTTATTTCTTTCTGCTTGGTTTCCCTGCTTTTATGAGCTTTGGCGGAAGCCAAATCTGAAATCCAGTTACCCTTATCCATTTGACTATTGTTTGAAAAGGCAAACAGATAGGTTCTGAACCCTATTATAGTCCATGTATGTCTCCTCTGGCCTTGAGTCTGCTGGAATGCAATGTATCACCCTTGCAGGAGGACTTCCTGTTAATATTTATCAGGCACTATTTGCTGTCTAATCCTCTTACATTCTAACATGTTTTAGCCACTTGATGCAGCATACAAACATACCACGGTAACTATGAACTTAGGAGCCTGTGTTCTTGGCCGTTGAATCTGAACCAAATAATGATGAACTCATAAAATAAAATGCCCAAATTAGATGTTGTTCTTCCCAAGGCCCAGGATTATGATGACTAATGTAGCAAATACAGTGACGCACAGAGACTTTAGTTCCTCGGGGAAAGCTCAGGCATTGGCCACATGTCAGACTGTCAAAATCTGAGAGAGGGACCCCGCTCAGAGTGGCCGTGCCCAGTGCTAAAGCAATGTAGAGATGTTTGGAAAGAAACAAAGTATTTTTCTCATGCAGTTCTATCTGAAATCTCCTGGAGCAAAGCCATGATATGTGGTTTTCTAGCCTTGACTTGCTCTTAGGAATGGTGGCCTAATTCTATGGAGCTGAGTGTGGTGCAGACCTAAATAAACACCTTATAATACAGTTAAGGTTGTGGTTACCTTGGCAGGAAAAGGGCAGGGAGCAGAGGGTTTGGGAGGGGACTTCTGGGGCACTGAATTGTACTTATTTTTTTAATCTGGGGCCAGATCCTTCGATGTATTTAGTTTATGTAAATCCAGCAAGCTGTACATTTATGATATGTGTACTTTTTTTATAATATTTTCAGTGATGTATATTTTAAACCATAATTGGTGATTACACCTTTTGTGATTCTAATAAAGGATACAGTCTCCTTGCTAGGAAAACTCACAAAGCCCCCAATTTTGCATTGAACCTTGGAAGTTTCATAGAACCCCTAGAAGTCATAGATATAGGTAAGAGGATCTAGGGGCCCCACGTGAAGATCCCCTGTCTTTGTGTTCTCTGCTGTCCCTCATTTGCACTCTTGTTTCCGTTCAGCTGCAGAGTTTCAGCCCTGCTTCCGGCAGACAGGCTGCCTTCCCAGTGCCATCTGTCTAGCCTGTCCTTTTGTCCCCGGTCTGTCCTAGGCAGCACTGTCTTCATCGTGTGATAGGCTTCTTCTCAAAACCTACACTCCCTTCTCACTGCTGACCCGAACAGACACAAACCTCTCACTTCCAGAAGCTGATCAGCCTCCTGTCTTTCTGCCCTACCCTGTCTTGTACCTTTCTCCGACCACAGCCTGCAATTTCAGTGAAGTTTTCAATATGTCATTCATGCCTGCTTTTGAACATTCCACTGTTCTCGGCCAAACATTAATCTCCTTCTGCGAAACTCATAAAATACCCCAGCTCCAATGCTGCCTCTTCAAAGAACAGTTTCTCGATTACACCATCTAAGAGGTCTCCCCCTTCTGAACTCCATGGCCCGTTTCTCTTTCCCTCTAGTCATATTACATAGTTCTGTAGCATTCATCGGTCATTCATTTTATAAGTATTGTTATCTTGCTTGAATTTCATCAGTTTCAATTGCTGCTGTAATTACAACAGTGGCTTAAACCAACACCAATTTAGTAATCTTACAGTTCTATTAATCAGAAGTCCAAAATGGGTCTCACTCAGCTAAACTGAAAGCAGACAGGGTTACTGTGCCCTAGGAGAGAATCCATTTTCTTTTTTCCTAGCTTCTAGGGTTTGCCTGGATCTCTGGGCTCACATCTCCTTCCTCCATCCCCAAGGATAGGAGCAGTGTGTTAAGCCCTCCTCAGATGGCATCACTCTGACCCTCTCTTCTGCCCCTGCTTCCTCTTAAGATTTTGGGGTTGCAGTGAGTCAGCCCAGCTAGTCTTATTCTAGATTCAACTGATTAGCAACCGTAATTCCATCTGCCCTAAATGCCTCTTTGCCGTGTAAGGTAATATAGTCACACATTCCAGGGATTATGATACAGACACTTCTGGGAGCCACTGTCTTGCTCCGCCAGAAGTGCGTTAACCACTTTCTTCTCTATCGTAATTTTATTACCTGAATGATTCGCTTATTTGTATGTTAATTCTATAGTGATTGTCTATGGCTCTGTGGTCCAACATCTTTTTACACCTCTTCTAATGTATTACCCCAGATTTTTCCTTGAAAATTGCTGCCTCCCTCACTTTCAGACTATGCTTACCTACATGCATGCAGGGGAAGAAAATCTTACCTCAGTTCCACCCCTAGCCAGAGATTCTTTCAGGGCGTGCCCTAGTAAGGTAAGACATTTGGTAGAACTAGTGGGGAAAGGGCATATATTCTTTGCTACCAAGCTTAAATGGAATCTAGAGGTGCCAAGAACACCAGGAGAAGCCTGGAAGTAAAGCCAGCCCTAGGAAAGGCAGATCTAAAAGTATATTAATGCCATCATTTGAAGCTCTTGCACCAAGCCACACCTGAAAATTAGCTCAGCCTCGCAAGTTTTCAATTACAAGATCTATACATTTTTTAAAAGTTAAACCAAGTTACATCTGTCATGACTGAAAGACTTCTAAGTGTAGCATATTTACTCACACTGCATTGTTTTAGGCACCATACACAGGGGATGTAGTCATGAAACAGACAGACACGATCTCTGCTTTCATGGAGTTTATAATCTAGTGGGGAAGCCAGACAAAAGACTGACAGATTTCGATGGAACTATTATGATGGAGATAATCATCAGCATAAACATGTTACCTAAAATCTGAGGTCAGAAAACAATTAAGCTAACCTAGCAGGAGGAATATTGAATCACCAGGTTAACATGGGAGAGAGCGGATGATCAGCTGTATTCCAGGGGAGGGAAGAGCATGTGCAAAGGGTGGACAGCAAAAGACTCCTTACTTGTTTTCCAAGTGTAAGTCTTGCCCCTACAACCACAATATAAATGCCTCAGTGGTTGTGTTTTAAAATCTTCCTAGATTAGGAACAATACCTAGTACAGGAGACTCACTCAAAAAAACAAAACAAAAACCAAAAAACCAAAAATAAAAACAACTTGTTGATCAGTTACTAAGTGTCCTAATATCCAAGGTTAATTCAGGCCTATAGTTTCCTATTATTCAGTGCTAATTTTACCTGTAAATTTATGGTAACATTATAATACTGACTAGAAGAGCAATATCAATAAATTAACACTTTTTTGAGTCCTTATCATATATCAGGTTGTATTGTAAGTATTTTGCATGTATTATTTAAGGTTCAAAATCATCCTTTCTGGTAGCTGCTATCATCATTATTATAGTTGTTGTTATTGTTGTTACTGCCATTTATACATAAGAAAATACAGCAAGAAAAGGTAAGCAATTTGTGGAGCATGGCAGATACTTGCACTTGATTTACCAACATATCTTTCCCCTCTTTCTTTCTTGTGAGAAGAACAAAGGTTTCGTTGAAGGGATTATGTGTGTCGGGAGCCAGAGTCCTCCTCTAGGTGTACAATAAGCCCCTTTTGGCTACACCGCAGTGACCTCATTTTCATTAGCCTTGACTATGTGTGTGAGGTACAATTATAGACAGGAAAATATGAAGTCAAGTCTGCAAGAAATTCATATTGACCTAAAGTAGATCCCTGCGAGAGACTCACCTGCTTTTGGACATTTCCGTCAGCATGGAGTTCCTAGAGCTGGAATCATCATCTGGAACCGTGAAGGGAGCCTAAATGAACAGGCCAAAAAACTCAGGATGACAGTGTGGAAAGATAAAAAGAAGCCATGTCCTTAAATGTTCAGTTGCCAAACTAGGCAACCTTGGCACTGCCTTCCCTGTGGCCTTCTTGTAATATGACATGCTGCATTTCTCCTCATCTAAGATGCCACCAGTTATAACATGCACCATTACACTGAGTCTAAGAGAAGAAAAAAAAAACCAAGCCAACTATGACACTATATCCTCTTTCCACTTAGAGTTTTTACATTATACTTAGTAAAAGAGTGCATTTAGACTTACTTATACCTAGATTCTGATCTTTAGCCTTTCAATATGGTACATTCATAAATAAATGTGTTTCTAAAAATATATATATTCATAATAAATATATAAAGCCAATTAGTTGAGACATTAATAAATCTCATTAATCTGCATTGAGAGTGTAACTCTCCTGAATCACTTGTCCGCTAAGAGTCACCAGTGTTCAAGTTTTTCCACACACGGTTGTCCTCTAAAGTATAAGAACATAGATGACACAATGTTCTATTAGAGACGTCCCTGCATAATCTCTTGGGTGCATTCCCAAGACACCATCACCATCCTGCAGGTTTGATAACCAAGGACAAACTGTGGCAATGGCATGATGTACCCAACATCAGAGGCACTGAAAACATAAAAGGTACGTCTGCATATGCACACATTCTGTTTTTTAAAAAAGAGGATAATAACTTTTTCTTACTGTTAAAATATTTCCAATTTGGTTTCTGTGGTTAGCAACCAAAGACTTTCTTTCTGGTTCGTAGTGGTCACCAGTGCAAAAAGTGACAGAACTTGGTTTTGTCTTGTCATCTAATTCCAAACTACACTACTAAGCACTAGTACAGCTTTGGTGTGGTAGATAAATGCAGATCTGAATATTGATAGTGACTCTGGAGTGTGGTGTTGAGAAAGATTGTAAGGCTTTGGTCTGTTACTTATGACTGCTGTGAAATTTTGACTGGTGAGTCATCCACAAGCCATGTATTTATTTTTCTTAAGTAATCATCTCCTCTCCACTTTCATTCAAAGCCACGGATTCATATAGCTGGACGAGGGTCATTTTTAACACACACACTGCAGAGAAAACGGGTAGGACTCCCCCCAGGGGTCACACGGTCTACATATCATGCAACTGCAGAGAGTGCCATTCACATATACTACAGTGTGGATGGCAGCCCCTGCTTCGTCATTGTACATAACCTGCAAAATTCTACAGGGTGGTCTTCAGGTAGTAATTCTCTATTTAAACATCATAAATTTAACCTTCACAGCTAATTGAACTAATTTATTATAAAATTTTATACCCAGTATGAAGGTCAGATTATTTTTATGTCTAAATGTCTCCTGTGTAAATTATAGTCCCTTCTCATGTTAGAGACCTAAGAATAATACAAAGCCTTATCTGGCTTTGTAGATACTCAGTACTCATTAAATATAAGTGAGTCATTAAAATCTTTTTAAATATTTGAAGGCAATAATTCAGTCTCCTATTCTTATTAGCCTCTCCAAGCTAAACAAACTCAATTTACTTACCAAGCTATTATTTTGGGTCAGGAACTACCTATGCTAAGCATTTTTATTTATGATATCATTTCACCTTGAAAGTAACCCTCTGAGATAGATAAGTAATTATTTTCATCTTCCAGATGAGGATTCTACTGGATAAGTATGTGTGCCTTTGCCCAACTTTCATTGCTAAAATGAAATACCTGTGGCTGGGCAATGTAAGAAGAAAAGATGTTGTTACACCTGATAGTCTGGGAGGCCAAAAGTTCAAGACTGGGTGGTCCTGTCTGTTGGACCTGTGATGAGGGCTTCTGGCTACCTCAAACATGGCAGGCGGCCCTGTGGTAGGAACTCACAAGAGAAGTCTTACTGTCACATGGGCAGCAAGAGAGACTCAGGGGCCAGGCCTTTGGTAGTGAACCATTCTCATGGAAATAAACGAGGGTGCCGCAAAAACCACATTAATCCCTTCCAAATGGTACCCTGATGATTTAATCATCTTCCACCGTCCCCCATTTAAAATCCCACCATCTCATACTACCATATTGGGGACCAAATTTCCAGCGGAAGAAGTTTTGGAGGGACGCTGAAAATACATCCATGCCACGGTTTAGTGTAAATACTAAAATTGAACTACCTGGATCCAACGTCCTGAGCCCCATGTGATCTGGGTGAGTCACTTTGTCTCTCCATGCGCCAGCTCCCTCAGCTGTGTAATGGGGAGCTTGACAGTGCCTGCTTCATGGTCTACCCCAGTATTTGATGGGTTCACCACAGTGCCTGGCACTTGGTAGGTAAACAACACTCTTTTCGCTGGCATTCTGATCACAATTCCAGCATCCCATGTGTAAGAGGGACCTGAGCTACAGGATGCCTTTCTTCACTCTGCCTTTCTAACCCTATCATAGATTTGAAGGGAACTCAAATACTGAGCCCTCCTTGTTTTTACAGTCAAGACCCTATAGCCCACCATGGATCAGTTTTTCACACTTTGCACATGAGGGGGATTTGGCTCTCAAAATCACCCCTTTCCTCTCTGCCACTTGCTACCTACTCTAATGCTTTGAACCTGATCTTCTGGGCCAAGCCTTCACCTTCCCATTGGCATGAAGAGAGAACTTTATACTTAAAAACAAAAAGCCAACTCGTGATGCACAGTTTAGAGCCATGTTCTGTTTTATGGATAAAGATCATCCTCACCCAAAGCCGGGCCTATCATAGTTCCAAGGAGTCCCTGGGCCTGCCACCTCTGTGCAGACCTGGGTCCAGCCCAGCCCAGGAGCAAGTGCATGCTCACAAACTCCAGAGGCTCTGGACAATTAGAAAACCTCATTTGCTTGCCCCATGGGACTTCTTGTGTGAATTAGTGTCTCCTATTAAAAAATAAAATCCAAGACAATACATTGTCCTCAAGGGCTCATATGTCTTTAATCATGGTCTTCTCTTCTCCCCCAAGCTCAGTGACTTCTAATGAGTCCCAGCTCACATCCTGGATGAATTATGGTTGGAGGAGGATGTGCACTCTGTGAAAATAAACTAACAGTGAGACTCGTGTTTACTGTTTAATTCACTCTGTCCAAAAATAGTTTCATTTTTGGAGAACAGTTTTCAAATAGAGGAGTGAATGCTGAATAACCCTCTATGCTTCACACCGGAAGGGGAAAAATGACAGTTGATGACCCACTGATCAGTGAAATAGTGTGAACTCGAAACATGTATGACTTTGACAAGTTATTTTCCTGTCCTGGGCCTCAGTTTATTTGTCTATAAAATAAGAATAGTATTTATCATAGCTGATATGAGAATTCATGCAAGCAAACCATTTACTTCAACATATAGTAATAAATCATAGATCTTTACAAAGGCTAGCATTTTATAATGCTAATCAAAACCATGTATGAATCGAACTTGGTAAACCCACCCCATTTATGTCCTTATTTATCTGATTTCAAAGGTACTTCATCTTTGTTTTTTATTTTCCCAGACTTACAGCACCAGTGGCTCTGAACTCCAGTTTTTTGTCTCTCTTGGCCTTCCATTAAACACTTGTGATCTGTATAAGCAAGTGTCTACATGCACTAGGGAACTGCTGCTTAAAGGACTCCTAGGTTGAAGTATGCAGTTGCCAGGAAAGTGAATAATCACCACCGAAATGATCTGGTTTATAAGTCAGATCTTGAGTTTCAAGAAGCTGCACACACACACACACTGGGAATTGCTCCATTTTGATCCCCCAGCAACATCATTTGGTGCAAAAGGAATTGAATAGAATTTTTATGCTCTAAGGAAAGGAAAGAGGAAGTTGCCCCCTACTTCTGTTTTTAGATTAAGTGATGGGGGTGGTTATTGTTGTTGATGCTGTTGTTTAAAATTTTTATTTTTTTTAAGAGCAATTTTAGGTCCACAGCAAAATGGAGAGAAAGGTACAGAGATAAACCATATGGCGTCTGCCCCCACCTTTGTACAGCCTCTCCCATTGTCAACATCCCCTCGGAATAGAGCACTTGTTACAACTGATGAACTGACATTTATTTACATACCATTTCTACCCAAGTCCTTGGGGCTCATGCTGTATTAGGTGCACTTCATAAGTTTGGACAGATATCTAATGGTAAATGTTCATCGTTGTGATACCACACAGAGTAGTTTCGCTGCCTTAAAAATCCTCTGTGTTCCACATGTCTGTCCCTCTCTCTTCGAGTCTTTTTACTGTCTCCATGGAGTTGCCAGAGTACAGTTTTTGTTTGTACTGTTTCTATAATTTCTTCTTTCTGCATTTGGAAAAGGAAAGGGTCCCTCGGTAAGGGCCACTGGAGCCCTGGTGGTGAGGCAGGGCTTTGTGTGTAAGCGTGTGAATCTGGGAGTGGGTGTTTGAGATGGAAGTTGAACTTCTGGACTGGAGCCTGGGTCTGGTAATGATGGGGGACTGACAGGAAGAAGGCCGGCCAAGTAACTTCCGTCTCTCTTCCCAGCACTTCCTGTCCCTATGGCACAAACTCCTCATGAGACTGCTGGGACCATACCTAGAGGTAACCACATGCTTTAGGGACTCCAGTCAAGGGTATCATGACCTCCTCGTCAGTGCTGAGAGATGAGTCATCCTCTGGCTTCTCCACTGCTTAAAAGATGAATGCAAATACTCTGTCCCTCTGGGAAAATGTGGTGTCTGAATATGAAGCCTCAGCCATTATTCATAGGTCTAATACCCACCTTGGTCCTGGCAGGCACTTCAGGACATAGGCTCCCTGAGAAGCAAGCTAAGGGTAGAAGACTAGAGGTGGAAATATTTGCGGATGTTTTTACCTGAACTCCTGTTGTGGATATAAGATTGAGTGACAATTCCGAAATCACTGTTTCTGCAAACGGAAAACGAAAAAAACAAAACAAAAAACAATCTTATATTTTTCATTTTGAGTTAGCCCTTTTACTTTGAGTAAAGCCCTTCTCTTTGGCATAATTTCTTCAATTGAATTGGAAGTTCTCTCCGTCCCGGGAGGAAAGCAAAGTCCTAAGAGACTTTCTATCCTCTTACTTCATGGAACTCATTGTCTTAGCTGGTTGAAGTATCACCCAGTGAGTGTCATGACTGAGTTACATCATTTTTCCTAAGCCTGAGAACTGTTTTCCCCTCTTGTCACATCCACTTTTCAGTTGTTCACTGCTGATATAACTGTGGTAGATGTATTTTGTCCTCCCTACAATTCATCTCCTATTGGCCCTGTTGATCCTGAGACCTGCTGTGCCTTCTCTCTGAGCCTCAGCTTTCATCCTTCTGTATCCCCTCAAACCACATCACAGCAACCCCAAGGCAAGCTCTTGGAATACAATTCATCTATTGGCCCTGTAGATCCTGAGACCTGCTGTGCCTTCTCTCAGCTTTCATCCTTCTGTATCCCCTCAAACCACATCACAGCAACCCCAAGGCAAGCTCTTGGCTCTGGCATTGTAACTCACTTCCTGTTTCCTACCACAAGGCATGGGAACATTTACTGATTTCATCTATGCCCTGGATCTGAGGGAGGTCTGGGGCCGGGTGTGAGGGAACTCTGCTGGCCCTGTCCACCTAAGAATGCCGCCTTTAGCCTCTGCTGATGTTGCCCTGTTCTGGCATGAGGCCTCTCAACAGACAAGTGGTATTCCCAAAATACAAGAATTCCTTGTATTCCCAGAATACAAGGTCCTGATTTTAGATCTCCAGACTTCCCCAGTCCTTCATGAGTTCAACACAAAACAGGGGGTAAGGAGAAGGTGAAGGATAATTATTCTGTCTTCATCCTGTCTCGGAATGTTGGTATAACCCCTCAAAGATCTCAGGGAGAAAGAGTCCTGAAGGCATTGCATGGGGTCCAGCACATAGAAATTGTTCCATCAGTCTTACAAAATAAAGTTTTCCTCATTATTAGTCTAATAAATATTTAATTGGTTAATTCATCTGTTCATATTGCCGTGGATATAGCTTAGTGGTAGAGTACTTACCTAGCATGCACAAGGCTTGGGGTTCAATAATCAGCACCACAAAAGTAACAGAAAAGGAGAGAGAGAGGAAGGAAGACTGAGCCCCCTCATGTGGCTGTATTCTTGTCACCTGGGCCAACCTGATTCTGCATATATAACAAGAGTTCAAACATTGTTGCTGAATTCAATTATTGTGAAGGAAAAGATCCAAATTTTCCTAAAGACAAATCCTTTCCATTCCAGTGGATAAAGGTGCAAATGGGTCTCGTAATTCATTTGGGGGCCCACAAGGACAAGGGCATGCACTGGCTAGAAAAGGCACAGGTAGGCATGGTGCTTTCCCACCCACCATAGTCCTGCTTTATAGTCTTATTTCATAACTATTTAGAAGAATTCTCCTACAAAGTGAATGGCTGAGCTGGGTTTAGAGGAGGTTTTGAAATAGATGGCCCCAGAGCAGTTGTCTTGGGTTAAAATCTGAAGAGAGTAAGGATTGCTGAATTAAGGAGTTCACCTTACCTCAAGACGGGGTGAAGTAGAAATAACACAGAAGCAGGAAAGCCATGCACACAACTGTGTCACAGCAGGTGTTTGGTTATTGGGTGACTGGCTAAACAAGTGAATACTTGCGTCCAGGCAGGCGTGCTGAACCTCACTTTTTATCTTTATTTGTTCTAAGGGTCACCATACTATGTGTTTACTAGATGTCACCTTGGCTACCATAGGTTTAAAAGCTAGCATAGATAGAACAAGTGTCCTCCAAAATATAATCTTTGACTGCACATATGGGAACAAATTCATCAATTGAAAAACAGCTGGCTACCTCAGAATGTCTGTTTCCTGTTCATCGTGGGCATCTACTATATATAAGAATCAGTAATCAAAGGGTTGAGGCAGGGATGAAGGGATAGAATGGGAGACCTCCCAGCAAGAATGGATGAGAAAAGAAAAACAGAGACAGACTTATTCATAATAGGAAGTGTGTATTAAGTCACTCTTGAACAGTAGAGTCATTCCATACTACAGGTTTGTAAAAGAGCAGGTGATGTCTTAGCATCATAACAGTGAGGACATTCTGGAGAGATGAGATTGCCTGAATCACAGGGCATGAATCGGATCCAGACAGGAAGTGGCCAGGTTTAGTCCCAGAGCCCAGAGGAGACTGTGTCTCCATTTGTCACCTCAGTGGGGGAATCCTCAGAGAAGACATTGGAGTCTCTGCTAAAAATAATAGTTACCAATGTCAGGCATGAAGTCAAGAGTTGGACATGAATTATCTCAGGAAATGCTTTCAACGACCCCCAACACAATGTGGCAAACACTGCTGAGTTCTCCCCTTCTTCCTTCTACAGGAGCTCAATTTTGTTTGAGAAAAACAAAACGTCCGGTTGTAATATCCAGTATCTCAGCTTCCTTTGTAACACGTCCAGTCTTCTTGGCAGGATCATGACCAATGAGGGACAAGGTGTGGTCACTAAAGTGAGATTTTCTAGAAAGCTTTTCAAGGGTAACATATGCAGCTGGCTCATTTCTTCAACTACTGCCATTTTGCCTGCACTTGGAGAAGCCATGGATGCTCAGGCAGGAAGATGGAAGAAGGCCACATCCTTGATAAGTCCCTTGAATGATGCAAATGCTGGATTGCCCGCTCTGAGCTACTTTTTATAAGAGAAAAATGAGCTCCCGCTTGGCTAAGCCACTGCCACCTGACCTCTGAGGTTTGCAGCGGAGTACTGTCTTAACACATGTAGATTAGGCATACAAATACTTTGTTTACAAAGCATTTGGTAGACAGACTCAGATAGTGTCTCTACTCACAGGCAGCGAATGTAATATTCAAATCCAGGCTAGTGCAGAACGAGGCTGGTCAGCTCCAAGAGTAACCAGTAAAAGTGCTTCAAAATTACTCTTTAAAAAAAGCTAGCAAGCAAGCAATCTTTAGCAATGTTTAAATATCTCTGGTAACCCTTTTTACAGCTTTTTATGTGATGTTGGTAGGACCCTCTTCCCCAGCACACTGTTACAGAATTTCCTGGAAGGCAGGAACAGAACATAATCATGCTGGTAACACCCACTCCTTCCTCTTTCTCCAGTTCCTGGCTTGGGATAAGAAGGCACCCCCAAAATGATGGATGATTCAGGTTTTTCATTTCCATTGATTGGTACCAGGGACTGAACTCAGGACATTCCGTTTGTGAGGCAGGCAGCGGCACCACTGAGCTAAATTCCCGGCCCTGGATGGTTCGAGTTTTTTTTAAAAATTGCTCAGTTGAAAGTCATCCTTGGGAAAGCCATCTATGTGTGCAGTTGTGTGTGTGTAGTTGTGTTTGTCCATTCTTTAGAGTGTGTGGCACACCATTCCATGTGCGTAAGTATACGTCCAAGTGTTTGAAAGGGAGGTCAAAGGAGGGATACTTTTCCTTGCTGTCAAATGCTATCCCCCCTTCTAGTTCCTTCAGACCTGCAGTGACAGCAGGAATGATTATATTACTGATAACTAAACTTTTGTTCAGGACCTGAAAATTTAATTTCCTTGTGGGAAGCTGTAGAGAACTAAGCTTATTTGGGGCCAAGAACTCATGAATTTTCCCAGAAAAGGGGAAAAAAAAAACACAGATACTGCCATTGGCCTCTGGATTTCCTTAAAAAATGAAAAGGCAGCAGCTCATTTTTGAACTCCCCATCAGAAACAGCTCCACAGCCCTTTTCTGCGAGCCTCACCAACATCAGAGAGCACAGGCAGACACGAGCAGCCCTTGAGAAATCCTGTGTGCATTCCAGTGCATTCCATGATTTGTGGTATTTTTTTCTTTTGTTTTCATAAGTAGAATCCTCTCATTTTTTCCCCCAAGTTTCTAGGATGATTGAGACCTGATGATATTTAGAGTGGTCACCACGTGCGAGGCACTGTTTTAAAAGTATTTGCATTGCTGTACTTTATCTAACCTTCCCATTTTGAAGATCGGGCAGCTGAGGCAAAGAGAGGATAAATGACTTGTCTGAGGCCACACAGCTAAGAAGCCTCAGAGCTAGCCTTCGAGCCTAAGCAGTGTATCTACAAAATCACTGATGGTAACCTTATCATTGAGTCTAGAGCCTTCCTCTTGGTATCTGAGGATATGCTTTCTTCGGATGCAAGCAACAAATACTCTCTATGCTTAGCTTAAGAAGAAAGGAGGGAATGGAGAGAAAGGAAAGTCACCTTTCATCTCCGGCTTTGAGAGGCAGATTTCATCCTGGAGCAGGGGATGAAAACTGCAGTTGTTTGTAAGGAAATGAAGATGATGCTCCTAGACCAAGATGCTGCAGGCACGGGGCAGGAGAAAACAAATGCTAACATGGCCCTCAGGAAAAACGGATCTTGCCGAATTTAATGAATTTGAGGGTGAGTCCTGACATGAACGTGGCATCATGGAATGAACAGGTAGGCGTTTTCCAAGTGTCCTACCCTTGAGATTCATCCATTCACCCAGTTGTGAATGCTCCTTCACCCAATAGTCCCGTTTTTGTTTGTGAAAGGATACTGGGAAATGTATTGGCCCCCAGGCCCTCTGGAAGAATGGCACATATACAGTCGTTCATGTTCCGAGTTCCAGGACACAGCATCAGGGGCCAGGCGCAGTGGTGGGCACTGGGAATAGAGCAACAGACAAGTCAGGGGGAGCATTTACCACTGAGCAGTGCATACGCTGTACATGTTTAATGTCCCAGCAGACACAGCTGAAGCGAAGGAGAGTTACAGTGGGGCAGTGCAGCGGCCTGGGAGAGCGTGCAGCGAAGGGACGTACTTTGGGATGTGCTGGACGCTTTCCATTTGTTCCTCCCCAGTCTACTTTCCACCTGTTTCTTTCCTTCCCTGTGTCCCCAGGCGGACAGCTTTTGGAGATCTGAAACAGGATTTCTTATTCTCTGGCTTCTAGTTAGATCCGACCATCAAGGCGGCAGCAGAAGGATGTCAAGGAGGAAAAGAATAGTGTTAAGGTATTTATCTGTCTGGCTCCCTCTGGACTGAAAGGCTGTCTCCCCCTGCCAAAGCCCACAGATCCTACCAGGTAACCTCTTCCACAGTCTCTAGGCTACCACCACTTTGTCCCTGCCCCAGTAAGTGCTCCTTCCTCTGCCTCTTCAGCCTCCAGGGGTAAAGGCTCCCAGCTCCTGCTACTTGCAGTGGTAAATCAGAGCCCTTGTTGGATTTGGTGACTCTACCCACACTTCGGGCAACACACCCTTCATTTACTTTGTTTGAGTGAACCGTGTTATCTGTGGGGGCGGGTGGTAAGACTTACCAAGTAAAGCACATTTAAGCTGATACCTAAAATTGTAAGCAGCAGTAAATCATGTGTTAAGTGTCCTATGGGGCAGTTCATCCCAAAAGGAACCCCCAGGTGAGTCCTGCAAAAGAATTTTACCCTTTGCTTTATTAATTCAGTATTTAAGTGATCCACTAAAATTGGAAGGTTTGACGAAGAAATGCCCTAACATAATGTGATCGAGGCTTCTACGTGAGCACTGGGGTGTCAGCCCAACATACAAAGCCATTTCCCTAATATACACTTGTAATAGCACGTCCTGCTCCCAAGAAGAGCTGACTGAACCCCAGGACGGGAGACACCTGGCCTACACTGGCCCCGTGAGTTTCATTCTCTTTGAGGACTGAGATTTGAGAATATTGGTTCTTGCCTCCTGGCAGCTTCTGAAGAGAAGTAGAGGCTACATTCCAGGGCAGCCTTGCAGTCACGCATGCAGATGTGCTATGGTTCCCTGAACACCTGGGGACCTCACTTACCTGTGTATGTTTTCCTAGCTTAGGCTAGCTTGAGCAAGTCTTATTGCTTATCTATGGGAGATGACACTGCTAAAACATTAGCCAATATGTTTTTTTTATTCTAGTGTCCTCTTTTAAGCCTAGGCCTCTCCGCTTTTTTGTTCAGCCCAGCATTCTGCATTGATTCTATCAAGGAAGAGATGCATAAAAGAAAGAAGAAAGGAAGAAGGAAAGTAAAGATTCCCTTTGAGCATCAAAAGCCTAGACATAGGTGGATAGGAAGGATTTTTTGTGCATAAATTACACACTTGAGTAAATTCAAGTAAAGTAAGGATGAAGCTTCCCATTCCAAGAATGGAGCAAAAAGTTTCCCTAGGCTGGGGAGTTTGGTGGGTGGGGGTAGAGATCAGTTAAGACATAATTTGGAGGACTCAAGACCAAGGTGGAAAAGTATCCAGAGGTGGCTCTGCCTCTGCTTGAGTCAGCACTGTTCTCGCGCACTATCCACATCTGTGTCCATTTGACTTTGTGCCTTTTGTTGGCCAACCTAAGGCCCCTGGTGAAACCCCCTCCCATGGGAGCTGAAGCTCACTGCTGAGTGGCAGGATGATGCCCTGCAGGCCCTGGGAGTGTGTTCAGTGCACTTGGACCATCCATCACCCAGTGACCACCTGGCCAGGAACCCTCCATAGAACTGCCATGCTAGACGGATTAAGCGATGTGGCCCCTTCTAGGATTTGTGGCTCACCAAGAAATTAGACATAAAGAAAATAGCATCACATCCTTGTCAACAAGCTGGAGAAACTTGGCCAAATGGCAGTACATTCAAGGAGACCAGAAGCCACCTAAGCAGTCTGCGGGAAGCCTGATTAACTATGCCAGTGACCCCTGAGAAAATGGTCTCTGTTCTTAGCGCTGCCCTTTGTCCTCCACTCTGACCTAATCTGGTTGCAGCCAGTCAAAGTTGAGACGCTATTCTGATTCAGCAAAGAGAATCATGATCCACTGCAACGCATGCCAGGGGTGCAGAGCTGGCACAGGCGCATGGCACAGCCGCTGGTGTTAGCTTTCTCTGCATGCTGCTGTAGTGGCATCCCTGCCCCACCCAAGGTGTGCGTGTGCACCACTCCGAAGTCAGCCTATCCACACTTTTTTTGTGGCAAGTACCAATAAGCCACTGAAACTAGCCTAAAAAAAAAAAAAAGGAGGAAGAATCTGGGGTATCTAAGGGAACACTAGAGAGGATCTCATCAGGGTTCCTTCCTCAGCAAATACAACAATGACCAAAGTCACACAAGCTAGACACTTCTGTAGAAAGATCTTTTAAGTCTCCAATTGCACCGGTCCCAGATGGGAAGGGATGAAGCTGGATGCTAGCACATGTGGTAAAAACACTTAGGGTTTTGAACTGCCAGCTCAGCATGAGTCAACAGGTCTGAGGTGACTGCCAAGAAAGCCACTGTAATCTCGGCCTGCACTCATAAAAGAGGCACCATGGTGCAGCCTGCCGTTCAGAGCACCGTGTATCAAGGCACAGGGCAGAGAAGGTGGCCGGGAGGGACTCAGAATCCTGCCCCATGGGGGACAGTGGGAATAAGTGGTGGGTTGCTGCCTGGCCTTTTGGGGGCAGAGTGGTGAGAACTTCTCAGACTTAGGATTGGTGTGTAGTCTAGGGTCAGACTATTTGAACCAAAACCCCAACTTAGCTATTGACTGTGTTTTTCCTATGCACCAGTAATGAAACATCTGATTTAATCTTCACTACAACCCTCTGAAGGAGTACTATTTTTATCCCTCTGAGACACATTAGAACATGGAAGCCCAGAAAGACTAATTAGCTAGCCACATATCACACAGCCACCAAGTGGAAGAGCTAGGCTTTGAGTGCAGGGAGAGTGCACTTTCTTGTTCTCATTGTGCCTCAGTTTGCCTTAGTGTTGCATCTGTAAACTATTCCAATACAGAAAGGCTTAAAACAGAAACATTGCTTGCTCAGAAATCTGCAACCTGGGCCCAGCGTTGTGGGAACAGCTCATCTCTCTCCACACGACATTGGCTGAGATGTAGCTCAGTGTTAAAGCATGCACCTAGCACACATGAGGCCCTGGGTTTGATCTCTAGCATTGTATATACAAGGAAAGAGGGAGCTAGGATACTAAGTCACTCTCCATTTAGTGCCTAGGACGGGAAGGACCTTGGGCAAAGAGCTAGGAACTGGAGCTGCTGAGGCTCCTCAGATCTCACTCTGTGGGATCCCCCCATTTGCACCCCAGCATGGTATCTATGGGTAACAGACTTCTCACCTATCAGCCCCTAGCTCCCTGCCACATGTCCTGAGACCCAGTGAGAGAACCAGGAGAACATGTTAATCAGAGGCTCAGAAGTCAGTGTCAGTATAACAGACTTCTCACCTATCAGCCCCTAGCTCCCTGCCACATGTCCTGAGACCCAGTGAGAGAACCAGGAGAACATGTTAATCAGAGGCTCAGAAGTCAGTGTCAGTTAGGTCTTTTGCACCGTACTGGCCAAGGTGGTTGCAAAAGTGAATCCTAGTCCGGGAGCGGGAAACCTAAATTCCACACTCAGTGAAGTAAGGGCCTGTGAGATGGAATAGATACTGATGTGTCTTTCTTTGAGGAATAATATATACAACAAGTGCTTCCTGTGCTGACATGGAACTAAGTTTCTCACAGCCCCTGGAAGTCATAACCACTAAACTCATCCCAAAATTCTGCCCTAGAAGGAGCAATTATCCCATTTTACAGAAGAGAGAAGACTGAGACTGAAATACAGGAAGTTAAGCCACTGAATCATGTTACCAGTAAATGAGATGAACCCAAGGTGTATTGACAAGACCATCTCCATGAGCCGGCTCGCTTGGTGGCAGCCACAAAAGGCACCGCAGGCAATGGTGACTAATGGGGGAGCCTTGACACCCACCCACTGGGGTCCACATCTTGGCCCCTCCCTATGCTTACAAACCACATGTTCTTGGGCAAACTTCTTCCCACCATAGTGCCTGTGTGGATGAATTAAGACAATGCAAGTAAAAATGCTTAGCACATTGTCTAGGCACTGTTGAGGATTCTATAAATGTCAGCTGTTTTTATTTTAAAAACAGGCCCAAGAAAGACATCTTTATTTTTAAAGACAAATCTGTGGCTACTGCCAAAACTACATGTCATACATCCTCAAGCCCAGGAAAGGCTGCAGGCCACAATAGATGGGACACTGCGGCTCGCTCATCTGGGAAGTCAACCCCACTCCCTCTCTGCTTCCAGCAAAACAAGGCGAGCAGTAGAGCTGCTTGTTAGAGCTCCTCCACTGTCCCTCCCTGGAGGGGACCTCATCTGACTCAGCTCAGGGGCTCAGGGGGGATTCAGTGACTCACTGAGTATCAAAAACTGATTAAACACCCTCAGGTCTCAGGGAACAAACACCCAGAAGACCCGAGGTTCTCTCCCTCAGGGTCCCCTGAGGAGCCTCAGACAGGAGAATGTGGGCGGGAAAATGAGCCAGGCTTCCCAAGGCCAGGGGCTCATCATCCCTGCCCACGAG